ATATATATATATATATTTCTTTTTTCTTTACACCTAGCTCTTCGACCTTAGTGACATTAATCACATTGAATAGGTGCATCTCATTTTCCCTTGGACAAGTTCGATCCGTCCCATGTCAAATTGTTAAAAAAAGAAAAGACTCAAATATATTATTAATAATTGATATTTTATAGTATGACATGTTTGCTATTACTAAACATGTAAGTGTTTTTCTTAATAACAACATTTTTTTAAATTTAGATAATTTCAACTCCTCTATGCAAATTTTAACATTAATATCTTCCAAGATGAATTAAAATCATATCTCAATATGGACATCTCCATCTAAAACATCTAGCATGAGTCCAAGATTAAATCTATAAACTCATTGCACTTTCAACTTAACATAATCTCCCCTTTATGACAGCATTTTTAACCACTAGGCTATCATTATTATTTTGATCAGTCAGAATTTCATTGTTAGGAATACAAGGCCTGCTAGGTAAATGTCTTAAACTTCCAATTTGGTCCCTTAACTATTACATGGACCTTATTTGGTCTTTAAACTAAAAAATCATTAATTTGGTCTCTCAAGTTTCTAAAATTGATTTTAAATTAATCCTTTCATTAAAAAACAATTGAAGTGCATGTTATTCGACAATAAAATGTATTATTTGATGGTTATGTGTCACATTAATAGTAAGATACTAAGTTATTTTTTAACAAATAAACCAATTTGGAGTTAAATTTAAAAATTTTAAGGATCAAATCAAAAACTTTTTTAGTTTAAGGACCAAATTAGATGGTCAGATAATAATTGAAGGACCAAGTTAAAAGTTTAACCAAAATTTTAAGTCACACCATCTAAAGAGAACAATTTCTTACTGCTAAATTTTATAAAAATTTACACTATAAAATTATTTAATATAAATTCTAAAAATCTTAACAGGAAACAACACTCGTACTAAAATTATATACCAGTATAACTCTAAATTGCAAGCCATGGGGAAATCATTTTGAAGCTGAACCAACCTGGTACCATACAAACCGGAACAAAATTTTATTGCATCTGCTTTATTGGAAAAATACATTAAAGTTTTTTAATGGATTTTTTTTACTTTAACTTTTCCTATATTTTTTCAACTTTCCCATTTTTGTAGATACGCTGCCGAGCAAAATCGGCCCACAACCAAAAGCTTAACCCCTAACCCTTTCAGAAATTTTTTGCAAAGGACAAAGAGTTCCATTTCTTCAACCGAGCTGGTTCGAGTTTAATTAATGGTGCTTGTTCTGGTTCTTCTCTAAGGTTAATTTTCTCTGTTTTGTTTTTTTGGGTCCCCCCCATGGGTGAAACCAAAGGAGACACCAAACCACCCAAGCAGCCTCGACCTCAGCATTCTTCTCCTAAAGATCTGGCAGAGGAATCATCGGAATCAAGGCAGCAGCAGCTCCACCACCAGCAACCACCGCCTGTGGTTGTCACGCCACCTCCTTTCATCTCTGCGCCATTATATGTTCCAATAGCTGAAATTCAACCACAGTTTGAGACGGTGGATCCCAAGAGACCCAGATATAATAGTGGCCAATGGAAATTGCTACCTTCTCCTTCCATCCAAGCTCATACCCAGACATCGGAATCAACCCCTTCTCCCACCGCAAACCCAGGGAATCCCCAAACCCAAGCTCACACCTCCGCCGCCGTTTCATCCTCGGATACAGCCTCTTCTCCGCCTCTCTCTCCTCTCCCATCAACCCAAGAAGCCAACAAGCCAGAAGGAGAGCAATATCACCACCACCAAATCAGGAAGGGGAAATATGTGAGCCCTGTTTGGAAACCAAACGAAATGCTATGGTTAGCCAGGGCTTGGAGGATCCAGTACCAAGGTGGGTCTGATGGGTCTGGCCAGTCCCCCCACCTCGCCGGAACTGATGTCACCGTTCAATCAACCAGAGGCAAAACTAGAGCTGATAAAGACAGAGAAGTAGCAGAGTTTTTGAACCAACATGGCGTGAACAGAGATGCCAAAACTGCCGGTACCAAATGGGATAACATGTTGGGGGAGTTCAGGAAGGTGTATGAATGGGAGAGAGGAGGGGAAAGAGAGCCAATTGGAAAAAGTTACTTCCGACTCTCTCCATATGAGAGAAAGCTATACAGATTACCTGCTTCTTTTGACGAGGAAGTGTTTGAGGAATTGTCTCAGTTTATGGGACCTCGCGTGAGGACTTCCCAAAACAGAGCAACTTCCTCAATTGTTCCTGCAGGTGACGATAATAGACCCATTTTTCTTTCGAGCTCAAGAGCTTTAGCCCCTCCCCCTCCTCTCAAACCAGATGACTTTCCTCTTTCAGGTACTCAAAAGTTCAAATCTTTTTCTATTCCCATAATTCTTATTCTCTTGTTTATTCAAATTAAGCATTTTGTTTAAGGGAGGAGTAAACACAATATAATTTCGAGCGGAGGTGATGCATTCTTTCATGGGAATCGAGGGAGTTTACTAGGGTTTGAGTCTTCACTAGAGCACGGAGTTGGAGTTGGGGTTCCTTCTTCATCTTCTAAGGAGCTTAGGAGAATTGGCAAGATCAGAATGACATGGGAGGAATCCGTGAATTTATGGGCGGAAGAAGGGGAGCACCATAGAGGGAGAATCCGGATTCAAGGTACAAGCTTTTTGAATGCAGACGAGCTCACATTCTTCGACGATACCATGGTTGCTTGCACCATGGAAGCCTTTGAAGATGGCCCTCTTAGAGGTTTCTCAGTTGATAGGTTCCTTAATGGACAACAAGTCAAAGTCTTTGGTAGAAGGAAGCCTTCATCTTCAGGTATATTACAAAAACATGTTTACTAATATTATTCCTTGTTTGCAGAAGTCTAGGAATCTCCATCTCATTCTCTCTCTAATGCTCTTAACAGGACTCATTGAAAGATCTCTCCGTCCATTGACAGAACCCTCCATAAAATGTATGTGTCTTAATTGCATGTTTAATTAATTCCTTGGGTTAGAATTAATTTGTGCAGTCTTGATTGTCTCAATGTCTTGTTGGTGCAGCGGTGCCGCCGCCAACGCCGTTGGAATTTCAAGATCCAACCGACAACTACATTGAGTGTTTACGAGCGCCGCCACCGACACTACCCAGCCTGCTCGAACTGTCATGGCACATACAAGAGCCACCGCCGGAGGAGTACCGATTTCCACTCCGAAAAGACGTGTACAGAGATTTGCCTCCAGGGAAAGAGATCTTTTTTAATCCTAGTGAGCTTTTGGATTCAAGAGCCTTCGTATATGACATTCTATCCCCAGTTATCCGAACAAACCCTAGTCTGACTGCCGCTACAGCTTCCAGCAGGGACTCTTTTATTAGCCTTTGGGACGATTGCATCAATCGAATCGTGTCCAAGTTTTGTCCAGTCGAAATGGGTTTCATCCGAAAGACATCCACATCCACCGAGCCGTTGCAGGATCAGTGGCCGAACGTCACCGGATTTGTTAAAAACTTCTGCTTGTGGAGAGGAGAAGAGGTTGATCAATTAGGGGAAGGTCAGCTCGATCCTTCATTTTCAATCGTTGAAAAGCTTCTATGGAGTTTCAAGGATCTTCCATACCTTTTAGGGTACTATGCAGTTGGGTTCTTGGTTACATTTTGTTCGTTAAGCCGGATGCAGGATCGGATTATCCGGACAGATTTATACACCGTTGATCTTTCTTCTCCATCGGAGAGAATCAAAGCCCTAGTACCGTGTTGGAGAATATCATGCCTTCTGCCGTTGTTAGCGGATCAATTATGCAGTGGCATCTACAAGCAGTTCCCTTTTAGTGATTTCGAGAGAATCGATGTAGGAAACGGAAGCATCATAGAAATGACGCCGAACACTGTGGTCAGAACATTCTCCACCAAGAGGAAGTGGGTAGCCGTGAAGGAAACGCATGATATACTTGATCATCGGGTTCCTCATGCTGAATTCATTTTCCGGGCATCAGAGAAGGATATCGCATTGGTGTTTAAGCCGAGAGGGTGTAGGTTCAAACCGGCGAACATCGACCAGCTTGTGGAGGCTCTCATGTACGTGACAAAAGCATTGGTGGCTCTCCATGACTTATCCTACATGCACAGGGACCTGGGTTGGGACAAGGTGATGAGGAGGAGCGACAGGGAGAACGAGTGGTTTGTTTGTGGGTTCGACGAGGCGGTGCCAGCACCTCAATTACACCCACACGGAGTCACAGTAACGGAGGCGCGTGGGAGGCACGCGCCTGAGATGGGGAGACCGTTGCATGGGGTGAAAGTTGACGTGTGGGGTATTGGGTACCTGCTAAAGACCTCTGGGCTAAGCAACATGCCGAAGATGCTTAGAGAGTTGCAAAATAGGTGCTTGGATCAGAACCCTGAACAAAGGCCAACAGCAGCCGATTGCTACCACCATTTGCTGCAGCTGCAGTCGTCCCTGCAGTCAGTTGCGTCTGCCGCCGCCTCCGTCGCACCCTTCTGAAGTGACATAATATTACATTAATTATTTATTAGTCAGTCCTGGGGGTTTTGTAACTTTTGTTTTTGTAACGATCATGATCAAAGTTGTGTGTGACGCGGAGGCATCAGATGCAGTGGGTTTGTGGTGGTGGCAGTTTTTGATACCTTAAAATTGAATGTGATTTGCTATGAGAGATTTTCCGAATGGAAAGAGCAGCCGCCAGCTGCTGTTAGTTTGGCGGCTTCTCAGTTGGGATGGTTAGTCTTTTCTATATCAAATCAAATCCAGAATTTAATTTCGAATTTTATATAAGAAAAAAAATTTGTACTCCAACCCATTACAGTGTCGATGCCAGTGGTTCTGTACAACAAAGCGTTGCCCTCGGCCTTACTCTCCATTATATATTTGATGATACAAACAATCAAATTATGGGGGTGTTTTCTGTACCGTTAGATGGTGAATTATATATTTGATTAAAAGAAAATCGTTGTTATACTTCTCTTTAATTATTTCAGGAGTTAATCTTAACAATGCTTATAAGGTTTTACACGTTTGAGTAAAGTGATTAGTCATTTGTTTTTTTAATAAGAATACTACCTAAGTTGGATATTTAAGTTTTTAGAGATTATTTTTCTTTATCTCTATAATATAATAAAAATATTTGTAAAAAATTATCCTTATTTAAAAAAAAAAAACCCCTATGCTTAACAAGTGAACAATAAGTCATGTCTATCTACATCAGTTTAAAATTAAGGATTTAAATGAATATAATTGAAAAAATTGACATAGAAGTTTTTAATACAAATTTTTTAATTTTTAAAATTTTGAGACTAAACAATCACCCTTTTAATCTTTAAGGACTAATCTAATAAATTTTTTATTACTAGTTTAACAAAGAGTTA